CTGTAAAGGCATGGCAAGCTGGGAGGCTTGGCTCGAGGCCATCGGGAGGGGCAGCTGCGTGCAGACGACCCGAGGGTTGCGTGGGGGTCCCGCCCCGCTGGCTGACGCAGCCACGCTCGCAGCTGTCGGCCAGCGCGGCGCCCGCGGTGCGAGGCAGGGGCGTGCCATTGCCACCCTCCCTCGCTCCCGCGACGGCGGCCTCTTCGCCGAACGCCTTTACGGCCCCTTCCGGAGGCAGCAACCCCTCCTGCCCCCCCACCCCCAGGGCCGTTTGGCCGAGGGGACCGCTCTGAACCCCCCACTACGTCTCCTCAGCCAACGCCGCCGCCCTGCTCAGCTCTCGCGCACAGCACCTGACCCCTCCCCCCCCGTCCCCAGGCCCCGCTGCCGCCGCCGCCACTCACCAGTGTAGAGGGGCTCGCGCACCGACTGGCGTGCCACGATGCCGGGCGCCTTGACCTCCACCAGGCTGCTCCTCACGTTGGTGAGCGGCCCCTTGCCATCAATGGGCTGGCCCAGGGCGTCGAGCACGCGGCCCAGGTTGCCGGGGCCGATGGGCACGTTGACGATCTGGCCGGTGCGGTACACCAGGTCGCCTGGCGGTGGTATGATATGATTGTTTGCGAGGATGTTTGTGTGTGTTTGAGAGAGAAAATGTGTGTGTGTGTGTGCGGGGGGGGGATGTTGAGGGGACAGGTGTGCAGGGGCCTGTGTATACCAGCACAGCCGCGTACAAGGGCCGCCGACGCGCGGGTTCCTGCTCCAGTTGAGCTGCCCGCAGCCGCCCCGCTGCGCGGCGCCGCGGCTGCCCCGGCTGCACGCCCCCGCGCCGGGGCCCAAGCCCGCGAGATCCGACCATGTCAAGGCCTCGGCCGTGCTGCCCCCCAGGTCCCTTTGTTGCCCCCAATTGCTGCCCCGCGGACCCCTTGCCGGGCCCCAGTACTGCCCCCGATTGCTGCCCCTCCAGGCCCCTTTGCTGGCCCCTAGGCCATTTTCTTGCCCCCAGTTGCTGCCCCCACAGCCGCCTCCCGCGCCCACCCTGGTGGATGGCATGGTCCTGGCCAAAGATCACCACTCCCACGTGGTCGTGCTGCAGGTTCAGGGCCATGCCCTTCACCCCGCTGTCAAAGCACACCAGCTCGCCGGCCTGCACGCTCCTGCGCGGGGCGGCGGCGGGAGCGGGCACGCATGCGCGAACAGCGCAGTGGACGGTGAACAGGCGACTTTTGGAAGCTGCGCGCTGCTTGTTCAGCTGCCGGGTGAAAAGCTGGCATCGAAGCGTGCCGCTGATCCAGCGCAGGAGGCGGGAGTGGCGTCCAAGCCCCCGCACCTGAGGCCGTAAACGCGGGCGATGCCGTCCCCCACTGACAGCACGCGGCCGAGGTGGATGACGGGCGGCTGGTAGGTCTTCTCCCACTCCTTCACGGCCGGGATCAGCTTGTTGCTGATGTGCTGGATCAGGTACTTGGAAGAGAACTGCCGGGCCGAGGTTGCGGGGTGTGCGCATGGGGCGGCGATGACATGCGACCCCGCCCCGCTATGGCGAACGACCCTGGCAGGGCCAAAGCAACCTCGAGAGCTGTCGGCCGATGACAAAGCGTCTTACGTTTTGCATGTGCTGCTGCTGTGTTCTGGATTGAGCAAGCGCTTGCTGCTGCCGCACCTTGGGCTTGCGCATCTCATCGAGGGGCTTGGCCTCGGAAGCGAAACGCATCAGCTGCTGCGCTGCAGCGCGCCATCCCACGGGCGCCGGCTCGCTGACGGCGGTCCGTGCGGCCGAAGCTGCGTGATGGACAACAGTTGGTTGCTTCGCGCCTGAATGGCGCTGCGCTGTGCAGCGTGGCGTGTGCTCGGCAGATCATCGCCATCGCCTCTGCGCAATGACCGCATCATCTCACCCTCTGCACTGCTGTGCTCACCCGCCTGGATCAGCCCCGCAACAAGCTGCCTCCTCATCTTGCTCCAGCCCCAGGCAGCAGATCACGCCACTGTTACTCCTCTCCTAGACTCGATCCTAAGCCTGTCCGTGACGCACCTAGCAGTACGATGAGACAAACACGTTCACGCGAATCGGCCCTAAACAAACGCAGAAGGGCGGAGGGTTTGCACCTGAAAGGTTTCGGGGTACAGCCCGACCATATCTTCAGTTGTTCAAGGAATAATTTTTTACCTAGTGGCAGCAATGCGAGGCCGTGCAGGTGCTCAGCCACCTGGCGCGGGCGCCGCCGCCCCACTCCCTGGACATGGGTCGAGGTTGCCGTGCAGCTTATGGGCAACAGCAGCTTATGCAACTCATGGTTTGATGACCACCAATCCGAATGCTCGTCAGCTGCGCTCACAAGCCAGGGCAGCCTGCATGTCGTGGTCAAGCACAACAGTTGACCAACTGTGCTGATTGCGCTGTTTGCATCGTGCTCCCCGAGTTCGTGGATGTTGTAGCCGCAGATGGGGGAGCAGGGTACAGCACAAGTACAAGAAGGAGCCAGGTGAAGCCCTCGAGGCGCTCGGCTGCCCTACCCCAGGGGTGGTTAAGAAAGGAGGGCGACGGGCGGTTGAGCCACCACTGGCGGCGGGGATTGTTGCTGGATCGCAACCTGCTGTGGCCATAGTCTGTGCAGGGTGCAGCCTCGCCCGGTCCAGGATGGCTGCCAGGGCTGAGCGGTGCCTAGGCGCGGGCCTTGGACGTGTGGGTCTGCGGCCACGACTGTTGGGAATGGTGGAAGCGGCTCGAAGCAGCAGTACAACCCCCGCTCCGCCGGTCGCTCACGCTAGCGCCGCCGACCGTGCAGCGGGGTTGGCAAGCAGCGGGTTGGCGGAGGCGACTGACGGCTCCATGCACTGAACTGGCTGCCCGGCGGCGTGGCGCCACGCCAAGCTACCCCTGAACGGCCTGCTGGACGTCATTCTGCCGCTGCAATCATGCCACGGGCACGAGGACGAGGACGAAAACAGGTTCTGTTACTGCGGCCACAGGCCGTCGATGGTGAAAAAAGGTCGTGGACGGCCGGGCGCGAAACAGGCGAATAGCGACGACGCACATGAACCGCGGCGGGGTGCAATGAGGGCCGCGGCCGCGCTGGTTTCTTGTTCAAGTGGAGTCTAGGGTGTCAGGAAATCTTCGTCTTCTGGATGAGCCCATCATCTGGTGAAGTGACCATCTGGCAAGCTGTGCTGAGAGGGCTGAATAACAAGAGCAGGTGCGGGCCCGGGCCGCGCCTGCTGCGTCACGCGACCCGTGCCCCCCCCCCCCCGGCGCGCGGCGGCGCCCAGCGCAAGAACCAAAACGACCCCACTGATGAGGGCGGGGGAAAAGCGCGACAGGACCGGCACACATCATGTTGCGGGACAAGGCACCCGCACGCCCGCATTTTGCCTGGCCTGCCTGTCCTGATTGAGAAACATAAAAAGGCGCAAAGGGGGGCGCAGCTGCAGCCGCTCCCTGACGCCTGTGCGACGCTAGCTGGCCCTGTCTGGCTGCCCGCGAGGGCGGGTGGGCTGTGTGCGCGCGCGCGTGCGGGCTGGCACATGGCCGCCGGGGCAGAGGCTGAGAAGCTGCTTCACTGAGGATGTGGAAGTTGAGTGTGAACATCAAAACGCCAAGCAAGGCCCGTCCAGGGGCCGAAAAGTGGACAAATGGAGGCGGGCTGCGAGCCTGCGCCGCGCGGGCAAGCCCGCGACGGCGAATCGCGCCCTCTGTAAACCAGGGAGAGCCCGCCATTCGTGCGCCTCGTGGTCGAGACGGCACGCTTGCGGGTGGCATTGCTTGGGGGTTGCGTGGCGCCCGTTATGGCAGATGGCGAGCCTGCCGCCCCCCCCCCTGTGATAACTATCATCAGCTGCTGGCCGCGTAATGCTGCACAACACAGTTTCGCGCCCCATCCCCGGTTGCCTATCCGAAAGCGGGACAGAGGTGTGAGAGCCACGCGGGCGGCCTTGTCAGGGCGGCGGGCCTCGTGCAGGTGGCCCGAAGAGCGCCCCGCGTGGGAGCCGCGGCGCTGCCAAGGGCCAGGCGGGGCGGCCGCTACGAAGGGCGCATGGGCTGGGCCCGCGCGCCGGTGGGGGTGCATGCGCTCGTGCCGTTGAGGGCCGGCGCGTCTGGTTCTGGCTGAGCGCGCGGCCAGGCGCGCGCGTCGCGCAAGAAGAGGCGCCGCGCGCCGCGCAGCTCTGCGTCGGGCCGCCACGCCTTGGCCGGCCTCGTTCCGAGGGGCGTGCGCGGCGCGGTCCAGGGTGTGCGCGGCATCGCGCAGCACGGAAGAAGGAAGGCGGCTGGGCGCCCGCCCCGCGCCAGCGCGGCACCGGCGCCGACGCCGCGCAGGCGGCGCCGAGGGGCGGGCAGGGACGAATGTTGATGCGGGCGCTGTTTCTCGATTGCGGCTGACCCCTCATGGCACAGGGCAGGCCGGGGCCACGCCGCGCCGCGCGTCATAGTGTGTGCTGTTGAAATGGGGGGTGTTGTTGCCGCCTAGCCTCGCCTCGTCGGCGTTCAGATGCATGGGCGGGTCAGCAAAGGGCTGAAGTGCGCGTTCGCCCCCCCGCGCGTGTTCTCATCTTGAATGAAAGGACGAAAACCGCGCTCTGTGCTCGCTCGCGCGTTTGCGGCCCCGTCAGCTGCAGACGCAGCCAGTCACAAAACCGCGAGCGTGAGAGGGGCAGGCGCGCGCGCCCGCTGCCCGTGCCCCGTGGTGCCAGGGCCGGGAGCGGCGCGCGAGCCCGCCTGTGCAGCTGTGCAGGTGGGGCCAGGGCTACAAGGCCAGCGCGCGCACACGCGCGCCGGCCGTGCGGCCGAGTGGCGGCGGCAGCAGCGCGGCGCATGCAAGCGCATGAGCCGTCGGGCGCTCAAACAGCGACGCGCGCGCTTCGGTGCAGTGAGTACCTGGGGCATACAGCCCGATTGGTGTGCGCTAGTGCAGGACGCGCTGGGCCATGGCCGGCCGCGCCCCAAAAGTGCGGCCCCGCCTGTGTGAGTCGGCCCTTGATTGCAAGCGGCATTGCCTCGGCAGGAGTGGGCAATGCACGTTGGACTCAAGGGCGGCAGGGGCGCGCAGTGGCACTGGCAGCATCCAAACACAGGGGTGTGATGCAGGGTCAGCGGCTGTGTACGAGGAGGCCGCGCCGCTTATCAAGTGTGTGGGTGCGCAGAGGGCCAAACGGCCTGGCAGCTCTGCGCGCGAGCACGCACGTGCGCCGCCTGTCTGTGCTGTTCTGCTCCCGGGAGACGTAGCGCTCCGCCCTGCGTCTGGCGCCATCGGTGGTTCCGCAGCTGCAGCACGCAGCGCAATAAGTGCGATCACATCAGCAGGGCAAACCGAGAGAGAGGCTACGAACGGTCGCCGCGGGGGCGCTGCCACCACGAGCATGTGACTGTCTGCATGGGCTGATCTCGACTCATCTGGAGGTTGCTGTTTCCCGTCTTGACCTGAGCTGTCCGCTTGAAGGGCGCGCCAGCCGGGGACGCCACGGCCTGCGGCGCCGGCGCGCGCCGGTCGCGCCGCCCCACGAAAGCCGGCCGGCCGCCGCAGAAGCGGCGGCGAACGAGCAGGCCCCGTGAAAATGCTAGGTGACTGCGCGTGCCTAGTACTGGCCTAGCTGATGCGCTGCTGCTCCCGGTGCGGGCCAAGCTTGAAGAGTGAGAGCGCCTGCAGGGTGTTGCTGGGGGCCGGCCGACTGTGTGAAAGGTGATAGCTTGTGGCGAAGAATGAAGGCCGGGTCGGGGCGCCTTGGTGGAGTGTGGGGCCACCGATTGCCACGAGGAAGCTGCCTGGAAGCTGTACGGAAGCTGCCTAGAAGGGTGGCCAGGAGCTGCCGCTAGACATTGAACTGAGGAAGTCCCTCATCAGCCCTGGCGGCAGCAGCTGCTGTTGCTGCTGCTGCTGCTGCTGCGCCTGCGCGGCGGCCGCCGCAGCGAGAGTCTGGTGTGCGTGGCCGCCGCTGCCGCTGCGCGGGCTGCCGGGCGGCGGCAGGGAGTGGTGGCGCTGCAGTGGCCCGAGGTCGAGCCCTATCCCAGCCAGATGGCCCGCAGATGCTGCCCCGCCGCCATCACCGTGATCCTGCCCGAACCGGCCGTCGACGCCCCAGCTGCCGGCCTGTTGCTGTTGCTGTTGCTGCTGCTGCTGCTGGGCAGCGAGGCCCAGCAAATCGTACGCGCTGCCGCTGCCGCCCAGCTGCTGCTGCTGCTGCTGCTGCTGCTGCTGCTGCTGCTGTTGGTGGTGCTGGTGATGCTGCTGCTGCTGGTGCGGCAGCGTGTTGTGGTTCTGGTGGTGGTTCTGGTATAAGTGCTGCTGCTGCTGCTGCTGCTGCTGCTGCTGCTGCTGCTGCTGCTGCTGCTGCTGCGCCGCCTGCTGCTGCAGCAGCTGCTGCAGCGCCGCATGCCCAAAGCCGCCGAAGAGGGCGGACTGGTCGTGCTGCAGCTGCATAGGCAGCGACGCGGCGGCGGCGGCTGACGCGGCGCTCAGGTCCGAGGCGCCGCCGTAGCCGAGGCCGCCGGCGCTCGCGTGGCCGAGGTTGTGCGCAAGCAGGCCGCCGGGGAGCTGGCAGGGTGGTGTCGCGGTTGCGTCGGAGTTCCGGGGGGAGGGGTTGGGGTGGTTTAGGAGGGGGAGTGTGTTGGGCGGGCGAAACGGTGCGGCACAGCCAGCAATTCGTGCATCGGCAATTCGAAGCTGTTAGCAATTCCGGGTGTGAACCCGCTGCCGCCGCCGCACGCGGCCATCCAAGCCCCCGCCGAGGCAGTGGGCAGCAGCGGCAGAGCCCAGAGCGCCGCCCGCGCCACCCACGCGACCCCCGCCGTCTGCCCGGCGCCGGCGACTTCGAAGCGGACCGTGCACCCGCCCCTGGCGTGCCCCCGAGCGAGGCCCAACCACAGGCCCTCACCTGCGACTGCAGCAGTCCAGCGCTGAGGCTGTCGAGCAGGCCGCCCAGCGGACCGCTGCTGCCGGCCCCTGCGCTGCCGACGCTCCCCGCGCGCGCCAAGCCGCCCATGCCACCCATGCCGCCCATGCCGCCGACGCCGCTGCCGCCGAAGCCCTGGAACCCCGCGGCGGCGGCCGCGGCCGCGGCTGCTGCGGCTGCGGAGGCGGAGTGGTGCTGGTGCGCCGCGGCGGCGGCCGCGGCGGCAGCCAAGGGATTGCTGTGCAGGTATGATAAGGCGCCTGTCGACATCGTCCGAGGTAGCATCCCAGGCA